CCAGCATCCAGCCCCAGCTCCTGCTGGTGCCATCTGAGCTGACTGGGTGTGTAGGTGGGAAGAAGGAGAAAACCCACCCCAAGCCACGGGCTGCTCTGCTCTCTGGAGTCCTTTGCCTGCGCTCAAGAGGATCTTGCAGCATAGACCCGTGATTCAACGACATGTAGCCCCCTTTTGCCTTTTAAAGCAAAGAAACGTGTCTCTTAACCAAGGCGAACGTTGCTCTTAAATCAACGGGGCTTTTGGAAAGCAACCCCCGAGGAGCTCTCCGTGTGAGGGGCCCCTTTATTCATATATGGGTTATAATTAGCCCCGGCTCCTGGGTCTCTAGTGATTGCAGCATCGGGGGTGAGATCACTGCCTGCATGGGAGAGGGATAAAAACCTCATCCCAAACCCGAAGGGGTCCTGCTTTTTTGGACTCGCTCTCTGTGAGCATGTGGCTCTCGGAAAACCACGGCAACGGCAGCATTTGATTACACCGATGAAATGCCTCCCTAACCCAAGGGGCAAAATTGGGTCTTCTGTGGGAAAGAGCCCTCCTCCTGGAAACTCTGCTGGGGATCCACTTTATTAGTTATTACTAGCTGTAACTGGGCTGCTTTCCATAGAGATTTGCAGCAATAGGGTGTTTGCCTGTGGCGTGTTGTTGTTATACTGGCTTTTCTCTCTACAGTGACTGCAGCTATTGGGGTTCTGGGGAAAAGGTTATTTGCAGGGTGGAAGAGGTGTATCATACAAGGCACAGGAGCAGCAGGTTGCTGGGGAGATTTGGGGAGAGGGTACACAGTCTAAAGGTGAGAAATAGCAATATTAGGCTTTTGGGGGGGGGTGCATCCTGTAAGGGAGAGGAGCACTGATAGTAGTGACAGAGGAGGGAGCAGCACTATGACTCATTTGCAGGCAGGTCTGTCCCCAGAGACACTGGAGAAAGCCCGACTGGAACTGAATGAGAACCCAGATACCCTGCACCAGGACATCCAGGAGGTGCGGGACATGGTGATCACACGGCCAGACATTGGCTTCCTCCGTACAGATGATGCCTTCATCCTGCGCTTCCTGAGAGCCAGGAAGTTTCAGCACTTTGAGGCATTCCGCCTGCTGGCCCAGTACTTTGAGTACCGGCAGCAGAACTTGGACATGTTCAAGAGCTTCAAGGCCACTGACCCTGGCATCAAGCAGGCGCTGAAGGACGGCTTCCCAGGTGGGCTGGCCAACCTCGACCATTATGGCAGGGGGAGCCGGGGCTTGTTCGCTGCCAACTGGGACCAGAGCAGGTAAATGCTGAGCCAAGATCTTAACACATGCCCCATCCCACCTAACTGAGACCTACTAACCCCCTACCCTATTGGGCTGCATGGGCGCTGAAGGACGGCTTCCCAGGTGGGCGGGCCAACCTCGACCATTATGGCAGGAAGATCCTGGTCTTGTTCGCTGCCAACTGGGACCAGAGCAGGTAAATGCTGAGCCAAGATCTTAACACATGCCCCATCCCACCTAACTGAGACCTACTAACCCCCTACCCTATTGGGCTGCATGTCTTATGTTCTGTTCTTTAGGGTTTCAGTCAACCACTTGCCAGTGTCAAGAAGGGTCACTTCCTCCCAGTATTTTCTGTTTTTTTTTTCCTGGATAGGAGTAAAAAATATCAGACACCTGGCAACCCCATCACCCGGGCCTGGGCTTGAACAAGAACACAAACTCTGAGGCCCCTGGAGTGGCCAAGACTAGAGCCGAGACTTTGGAGAGGATGAGTCAGACTCAAGACTGTGAGATGGCACCATGCGTACTCTCTCTGTCAGGTGCTTGGCTGGCTGGTTCTTGCTCATGGGTTCAGGGTCTAACTGATCCCCATAGTTGGGAGCTGGAGGGAATTTTCCCTCCATGTCACATTTCTAGGGACATTGGTGAGCTTTCGCTTTCTTCTGCAGTGTTTGGGGCAGGTCATTTGCCAATATTATCTGGATATATCTTACATAATCAATTTCCTACCATTGCAGGATCCTTTGGCGCTGGTGCACCTAAGTCCCTTCTGTTCTGTGGCACAGAACAGTCTGGTCTCCTTTGGGCAGTAATAGGTAGTGTGATTTCAGTTGCTGTGTTTAGCATGTGGATACTGGGTGTTGGTGGTGGTCTGTGATGTACAGAAGGTTGAGATAATCTGGTGGACCTTTTCTGGCTTTAAACTCCATGACTGAACCTTCCCTCTATCATTGATGAAATCCAGGAGGTTACAGGGTGATGGAGAGGGCAATATAGACACACCCTGCTTTACACACAACAGGACTGATCTGCAGCATGGAGCACGAAGAAGGAAATAGAGACACATTTTGATTTAAAGCCCCTTCTGTATACTCCCCTATATATTCATGGCAGGGAACAGAAACCCTTTTCCCTGTTATTAATGGATTGGGCAAAAAGCACACTCCTTGATTTACATTCCTCTGCCTTTTCCCCAGCTGAGATAATGATGCATTTAAAAGAAGCAAAACAGATAATTTGTCCAACTGGCCTGACAAATATTTATTACATCTTGTCTCAGCTCTTTTTGCTTAAGCGCCCAATATATCTCAAGCAATGAAATAGGGTTGCTTGACAGTAGTCATTTGCATATCAATAATACCCACAATGCTCTTACAACTCAGGGCTAATTCCCATTTCTGAAGAGGAACTGAAATAGGAAGCTCAGGTTCAGAATACTTTTCCTCATCTAGAGAAGGCAAGATTAGTAACTGAACTATCTAATTATGCATGTGTCAGACTGATGTTAAACACCTCTTCAACTCTCTCCTATTCTGCAGCACAGGTGACAGTCTCTTTGGTATAGTTATCATGGAGGTGGGTGAGGTCTTTATGCAAAGTTTTTGCAGCAAGCTTTCAAAACTGAATGAGGCTACAAAGGCCCTAAAGCTGATTACAGTCTATTCTGGTGCCATTGTGGTGTGGCGATGGCTTATTGGGCTCATACAAGTACAAGGTTTTTTTTTTCACAAAACGGAAGTGGCTACACCCCTGGTGCAAAAAGAGTCAGCAGAAAATATGCTAATGACATCGTGACTCATGCATTAGCATATTTTCTGCCACAAAAACTTGCAGTGTAGACATATGCATGCAAGACTTGCAGAATTAAGCATTACCTAATAATAATGAAGAATTACATCATTATAGCTCAGAGCTGAGCAAAATAGAGCCTGTTGGCCAGATCCAGACCTCCACCATCCTGCAGCCCAGCAGAAGTGTTGAGCAGATTCCCTGCCCGCCACATCCCCACATGCTGCTCAGAGTGGCCAGCTGTGAGGGGCCATGTATGTCTCTGCATGCACTGTGCCCCTTGGGAGGAGAAAAGGGGAGCTTTATGCACTACCCCCACCTGCAACAGAATCTTGCAGGTTCCATTGCCTGGACATTTAACTCAAGCCTTTTCTTAAGAAATAATCTGGTACTATCCTCAAAAAAAGAGCAAGATGACAGAAATAAATACAAGGATGTGACAAGTTAGGCATCTTGTTAAAATTTTACTTCTGCTTTAATGAACTTCCCTCACAAATCTGGTCCTGACCTATCTCAGGTATGATCAATTTTCTTCTTTGTAATGTCACTATGGTAAAACAAGTTTTATGTGGAACTATCCAGAGCTCTAGTCCTTCGTCACAGCACAAAAATAGCACTTTAAAAACTTGTCATTAACATGTGGCAAGGGTGGGTTCATTCACCTGTATTGATTGTGAGATGTTTTCTTACTTGATTTGATTTACATGAGATCAGCTGGGACAATATTAAAAAGACAAATCATAATTACAGTTTTATGGAAGTTTTACTGAATGCATTATTATTTATATTATAGTCATAGTATGACCGAGGTGCTCCAATACATATGTACTCCAACGAAGATTGGAATCCCACAGTCCTTGCCCCAGAAGGGAGCTGTTTGTCCATAGGAAGAAGACAGACAAAGGGAGAAGAACAAAGGTGCAGAAAGGGGAAGTGACTTGTTGAAAGTCACATAGCAGATCAGTGGCAGATCAGGGCATAAAACCTGGATCTCCTGACAGACACGTACCCCATCCAGAGACCACACTGCTTCCCCATGAGTACATCTGACCTGATACTCACTCAGTTAATGACTGATCCTGTGGAGTGTTATGCACCCATCTCTCCTACTGAATAAGCCCTTAGTGATGTACTCAAACATTGTGCTTTTTACTTATAGCAAAACTTTTCAAAAGCTTCTGGTCAGTCAGTGAATTCCCTGCATTCTTTCTTGACTAAGTTAACATGTGCTGCAAGGCCAGAAAAATATAATTTATCACAGATATACAGTTTCTTATAGCCAACATATGAATAATTCCAACAAAAATGATAGTTGTTTTTTAAGTGAATAACAGCCATAGAACAGATGACTTATATACGTCAGTAGTCTAGCATTTATAGTTCCAATTACCATCAGGCCAATTAAAGGATTTAGGAATAGGAAAAGGATGAAACAAAAAAAATCTATGAAAAAAGAACAAGTCTGTGTGCCAAACAAGACATTATACTCACTAAATTAAAGCAGGGACTGAAAACTGTATCAGTTGCCCCCCCATCTGAAAGACTAAACCAGAAACTTATAAAAAGATGAAGGAGGTTGTAATGCAAGAGCCAATGGGAATGTCTCAGTAAGAAATTT